TCGGGCTGAAGGCAGTTGCTTCAGAAATACAAAGTGGCCATTTTCTGTTTGCATGGGGAGGTTTTGCTTTGGAAAACGGTATTTAGGCAGGGGGAAAGCCAAGGGTATGACCTAAATGGGCTGGATTGTGGTTGTTGGTTGGTTTTGTTTTTAGAAAAAGCCCAAAGGTGGCTATTTCCAAAGGTCCTACGTGACCCCAAAGATGCCGTGTTACAGACGAAATATCAGCAGGGTATTGCCCTTAGCAGACCATGGCCGAGGTTGGAGGGCTGAATTTGCTCCGTACTCGTGTGGCTTTGCTGTTGTTTGGGGCAATGGGTCAGGTCTGACGGGGATGCCAGGGGACAGGCTGCTGATCAAATAGCCATCACAACTGGGACTGTCTCCAAATCACCATCATTGCAGAAAGGTTAGAAATCAGCTGGTTAAAAGACAAAGCCCACAGCGTGTTGGTCCCTTGCTTTCACACCGAAGACAGCCCAAAGGGGCTTCCAGCCAGCCAGATACTGCCTGAACACGCACGGACAACACAATGGGGAGAGAGTCTGTGTATCTGTCCTTGGCAGTCACTGTGCCATCGGCTTTTAAAAGCTACCTTCGGAGAACAGTATTCAGGAAAAGAAAAAAAAAAAATTCCATCCAAAAATCCATCCCTTTGTGACTCTGAATCTGACCCTAAATTACGCTTCATGACCAAAAGCAATGAAAAGAGCTTGTGGTGACTTGAACAGCAATTTTTCCAAGCAGAGGCAGTGCTAAGCGGGGAACGCGAGACTCCTGAGAAAGCAGGAGGAATGCGCTCCAAGCCTGAACGCTGCAGATGAGATTTGTTGCATCATATAATCTGGTTTTGTGCTTTGAGTTTCAGCTAGACAGGGAGATACTAAGATAGCATGAGAAAGGCCATTTCCGCAAGATCTCCAGTCCAGATTAGGTGAATCAGTCAGACTGCCAGGATCACCAGCAATTTTATTTACTTTTCTTTTTCATTGCTTTGCTAAACCCAATCTCCAAATGGAGCAACTAAGGACAGAGTGTCAGCATACAGCTGCCAATCTGAGGCAGAGAAGAAAAAGGTTAAGATGTAAGAGCTGAAAGTTGTTAGATGAAAACAGTTTTTTAAAAGAGCCTGAGAGTACTGAGGCTTTATAAAACCTCTCATTGTATTGCACTAATAAGTCAAGTGTCCGCAGCCGAGCCAGCAGACACACTCTACAGCATCTATTACCGGCATGTTTATTTACAAAGGCAGCCACCAAGCCAAAGGCGAACAGAAAAGAGGAAAGACTGAACTACGGTTTTAAAGAAATACAGCTCCTTGGACTGGTTTTAATTTAAAATCCTGGGACTGGGTTTGTCATTTTCTTTTGTGTTTCATCCCCTCCTCCCCGTTTCTTCTTAAGGGGATGAATTGTCCAAAGCCAGCCAGGCAAAGGGGAATTTTCCTCTAGGTGTCTCTGTCCCCATTTTTATTCTCAATTTTTTCTCATACTCACACACAGACACACGCACACACAACACTCTCTTCTCTGGCATTCCCAATCCAGCACCACCTTTTCATTACCATAGCAATCCCCCACATCCCAGCACAGTGCTCCCCAAAGCGCTTTATAACTCAGACCTGCCCCAGCACCTTTCTCCGTCCCCCGGTGCAATGTGGCAACCCCATGTGGGAGCCACCAGCTGCACATGGGAGCAGCACGTGGTGGCAGGGGACGAGAAGCCAGGGCTGCCAGCTGGGTCCTGCCAGCCCAGTGGGGCCATGGGCAGGACAGAGTGGACGATGTGATTCACCTGAGCAGACACCTGCACCCGTGCTGTATACATGGCTTTGCAAAACAGTTATCACCCGCTCTTAAAAAAACAGGGGGTGTAGGGCCTGGATTTATTGGATTTGACCAGAAATCCAGAGACACGCATGCACACAGGCACCGAGTGCTCTGCTATTGTCGTTCAGGAGAAAGCACTGTGTCTCTATCAGCCCGTCCCGCTGCAAACCTGCTCCTCTTTCTCTCTTTGGAGTATTTTGCAACCCAACCAAGAGCACGTGGAAGCAGAAGAACAAAAAAGCCCTCCGGGCTTTGTCTGGGAGAAGTGCATGATCGCAGTAACACACCACTGCCTTCCCCAGCAATGGGGGACAGCACAGGAAGCTGAGGGAGGATGGAGGAGAACAAGGCGAAAAGAAAAGGTGGGAGCAATTTTAAACAAAAAGAAAAACTTATATTAAATTATTGCTTTATTTCTGGTTCTATGAAAGTCTCTGACCCACTCCACCCTGCCCCCCGAGATGTCATGTATGCCCCCAAACAGCCCAGTAAGGAGGAGAAAGACCTGAAGGGATCCTGCCCGAACAAGGAGCCTTCCCAAGACTTGGATCTACAGAGGAGTCTCTTTTAGTTAAAAGAAAGTCCCCAGCCAAGGCAAGCCCTCCTGCCCAGCAGTGTCCAGTCCCACCGCCATCTCCTGAAGATGTTGAAGGGTGGGAGGGAAAGGGAAGGAAAAGCTCCAGCCCCAGTGTTTTGAGAGGTGTCCTCCCTCCAGACCATGCATGAATGAGGCATCAGGATGTGGAGCAGACCATAACAAAGAGGGCATGGGGGAGAAGTCAACCAAGAGATGAGCACAGGGTGGGAGGAGAGGAATTGCGGCAAGATGAGAGTTACCCAGCTCTCCCTCACCTCTCCCCCCAGCCCCTGCCTCATCGGATGCGGAGGTACGAGGGGATGGAGTAATTGAAGAGCAAGTAGTCCATTTTGTATAAATTAAAGAGTCTCCTTTGGTAGAAAGGGCTAATGTCCTGGAAGAACTGGGCCGTCATGTCGTCTGTCGTCCTGGTGGTCTTGGATGAAGATGGGAACTTGACGCTCGTGTCGGCCCCAACCAGCTGGAGGATGTAGTTGGCATCTTCGGCCAAGGTCTCATACTTGCCCACCACATCGTAGTGGACGATGCAGGGGTGGCAGAGCGAGTGCACCCGCTCCCAGTGCTCGTTGAAGGGTTCCTCCCGCTGCGTCCGTGGATCCAGCAGGTAGTAGACAAACTCCTCAAAGCGCACATCGTCCCCACGCTCCAGGGCCTTGTCGCTGGGCTCCTGCCGGTGCCGCCGGATGATCTTGGTCCCATAGCGCTTGTGGAAGGCTGTGTTGTAACTGCGGGTGAACTTGTTGCGGTACGCCGAGACCAAGCGCTCAAAAGGCTCCCGCACGAAGATGAACTTGAGGTAGCTGCGCAGGCGGTGGTTGATCTCGGGGATGCTGTACTCAGAGAGGGTGCGCAGGTTGGATGAGACGTGGGCCTCGTTGGCAGGGATTTCCAGTGGGTCCCGGTACTTGCCTTGCCCCGTCAGGACCATCATCACCCGCTTCCAGTTAGTGCAGGCCACTTTGGGCACGTAGCAGTAGAGCAGCCCATGCGTGTCATCCACCACCAAGTGCCGCAAGTCATCTGGCCGCAGGAGACGCCGCTTGCGGGTGTAACGGTTGCAGATGTTGCTCAACAGCTCCCGTCTCTGCTGGTGAACTGCCTGCAGTGATGACTGCTCAAACTGGGGAGAAGAAAAAAAAAAGAGATGGTCACTAGCTTGCTCAAGCTGATCATGGCGTACACACAACACTTGGCCCACAACTGTCCCCGTTCCCTCCCCCTTCCTCAGTTTGGCAGTCACTCATGTGGAATTTTTGGGGACAGCAGTGACTTTGAACACAACTTGATTTGGTGCATTTACTCCTTGGACCTGCTGGAGGCAAAAGAGAGAACAAAATGTGATGAGGAGCCAGATGAGGAGGCAAGTCAAAGGGAGTGAGGGAAGAACAGGCAATGCAGAGAGAGTCAATAGCAGAGTATTTGTTACAGCTCCCACACACGCACTGGGCTAAACTGCTGTCTCTTACACCAGTCCGGGGGGCCATGCATGGCCCGACCCCTCCGGGGCAAACCGCACAGCCCCTTTGCTGGCGCAGTGCCCTGCACACCCCCGGGCTGCCATGGGGCATTGCTGCCTGGCGCTGATGCCCACACCTGCGGGCTCGCTGCAAACACCGCAGCCAAGAGGCAGGAATGTGGCACACAAGTGTGGGCAGGCATGATGAAAACGGCACAGGTGTGCTGCCAAGGAGAAGCAAAGGGAGACAGGCGAAGAAAAATGATCTTTAATGCTGATGCTTGAACCTTGGGGAGTAGACGGGGAGCTAGATGTGAGGTGGGGTGGCAGGGCATGATGGAGAGGAGCGAGGTGCTGCTCGAGGTGGTGGTGAGATCCTTCCTAAGGGCTTTGGGTTTCTTCTCCTGAGGGACTTTTTCCACACAGGCCAGTCCAATGCCTCAGATCTGGTCACAGTCTCCTTTGTCCGCAGGGATGAGGAGTCCACATGTGGTCCTTTATCCCTTTTGACTCTTGCATCAAGGCCTGGTAGCCACTGCGTTGGCTTCCCAGGAGCCCAGAGCTCCCTGACCCCTGCCGCAGCTGAAACCCCCCCTCCAGATTTGGGGATGTGACCTTTCCCATCATAGTTTTCATCAGAAATCCCAAAACGTCATTAAAACATCTGAGGAAGGAAACCATTTTCAGGAACTCAGAAGGGGAAGGTCCCCTCCTCCGCCTGCCCACTCCTTCCCTGTTTTGTTCATGAGGGTTGGGAGGTTTTGCATTCAGCTCCAAGGTCATTGCTGGGAACCTCCAACAGCCTCACCCCCGCCACGACCGCTAACGGCTTCACCACCCGTTTGCTAACCCAGGGCGGCTCTGACCCCACAGAGCTGTTGCTCTAATGCAATGCGGTGACCACCATGTCGCAAGATGATGGTGGCTTCCACTTTGGGGTTGTGAAGACAGTCCTGCTGGTATCACAGGGCACCATGGCAAACATCTCTGCAGCCTGTAAAGACATGGCAACCTCAAGATGAAGGGCAAGGGCAGGCCACCTCCTTGGTCCCTACATCCTTACTGCTGACAGCTGTCACCGCTTAGGCATGCCAAAGGACACCCTTTGCCAAACTTCAGGTGCACCCTCACCTCTCCCTGGGGGACCATAAGGTGTTTTGGGACGCACTAGAGCCTGCGAGAGGCTCTGCGAGAGGAGATTACAGTTTGTAAAGCTCCTGCCAGGAGTTAAGCTACTGAGACAAACTGCCTATCCTGTGGATGATCCAGCAGACTTGCCACCTTCAGAGAGGCACTAACATCTGGGCAAAATGCTCCTCCTGCAAGGGATGAACCACACTCAGACCCTTTTGGATCTCATTTCCAAAAAAAGAAATAACCTTGTCCAGGTCACCTTAGTGACTACTTTCTCCAGGAACCTGAGACAGGAGAAAGCATCCCATCCTTGCTCCCTTCAAGAGGGAGATGATAAGGGAAAATGCTCAGATGGAGGAAAAGCAGCTCAACAGACTCTGAGTCAAAGATATGACTTTGAATTGTTGGCTACTTGGATATGAAGAAGATATAGCACCTAAGGAGGTGATAATCATAGTTGAAGAAGCATTCTCATGGTACACCACCTTGTGACACAGCCAAACCTTTCAGTAGAAATTTCGTTTGTTTGGATGGTCCCCATCAGCTTTAAAATTGGAAGCCCTTTTTGCAAGTGCTTTAAAAAAAAAAAGAGGCATTTAAATAATTTTCAGGTATTTTTCCCTGCACTTGCATAATTCAAAACCATTGGACCAGAGAGACAGACAGACAGACACTGTCTGCAGGCATGGCAACAAATAAATGTGACTACTTTTCAACAGACACCCGCTGGAATAAGTGCATGTTTTGCAGTTGTTTCAGAGCAAAGTCGCTCCCTTCATTTCCTTCTCTTTAAAAGCCAGAGAAATTAAGTATCACTTTTAAGGAAATAACACTATGATATTCCATCAGCGTTAGGGTTTGCTGGCATCATGGCCAAGGAATCCACATTTACCATTTTTTCCAGAGCAAATGTAATCTGGCTGCTTATAGACATAAAAGCATCAACCTAGACAGTAACACAAAGTGTCACATATGGAAAGGAGATCTGGCTCCAGCTACAGCGGGCACTGCCGATGGGCAGTGGGGAGGCAGCGGGGATGGCAGCCAGCTGAAGGGACTATCTGCGTTGCCCTCTGCTTTTTGTGGGCTGCAGAAGATGATGGGCCCGTGGATATGGGGAGATGCAGGGCATATTTGGTGGCTGGAGCCTGTGGCTGTGGCCCAGTCCGTTGCACTGGCTGGAGGGTGGTTTCCTGCAGGACTTCCTGCAGGGAAATTGTGGGCAAGGATTCCTCTGGAAAGACAAGTCTGGGTGCATGGGGGGAAAATGGTCTGCCCACAGGGGGAAACGCAGTAGAAGGAAACAAATGCACCTTTTGCAGCTTCAACCACAAACCCTCAAGCTCCCATTCAGTTGCTAAGGGCAAGCAGGACACCTTCCCTGATGCCAGGTCACCGACGCCAGTTGGGCTGCATGCACTGGGGGCTGGCAAGGGCGAGTGCTCCCTGCCTTAAGCAGCGATCACGGCTCGTCCTGTAGCAGAACCTTGCATGGGCAGGGACCCACTAAGCCCACCTGGAGGGGAGCGATTCCCTGCCCAGACTACCTGGCTGCCCCTTTTTGAGTAAGTGTAGCTGGAACAGCTCAGAGTGATGGAGATGACTGAGGTGTCCCAGGATTATAAAAGCCTCACGGCTGGGTCCAGCTTTATATATGTGTGTGTATATATATATATGCATATACGTATGTGTGTGTGTATGTACAGCACCCAACATAGAAGCATCTATCAATTACTAGCTCAGAAAGTGCAGCAATGATGCTCTTGCCCTGCTATGATGGTCCAGAGTTGGCTTTGAAATCCTCAGATGGCGAAATCTCCCAGGTTTGCCCAGCTATGGCTCAGCCCACCGGTAATGAAACCATTTGCTCAAGTACCAGCAAGGGCCATAAGCAGTTTTTTATCAACAATTCCTCTCTAAAGCAATGTAGTCTTTTGTTTTGGACACAACCAGAGGTTCAGGCGTGAGGACCCCGGGGATGGTTGGCGACAGGGCAGTGCCCCGCACATCAGAGGGGTGGAAGAAGGGATCAACCCCCAGTGCCCCACTCTCTCTTCACCCTCCCATCTCCCCCTCCCTATCACCTTACCTGGTCACTCTCGTACAAGGCCTGGAGTGGGCTGCGACCGGCCTTCCCGTGCCAGGTGGATCTCATAACCCCGTCTTCTGTGGCTGAAAAAGGAGTGAGAAAAATCAGAGGGGTTGGGAGGGGTTGCTTCTCTCACCCTATCTGGACATGCCCAAGTTGGGATGAGGCAACATCTCCAAGAAGAGACAAGTCTGTTTGGCTCTGGGGAAAGATGCTCAAACAATGCTTGTCCCCCCCTCTTATTTTTTAACAAAACCTGCAGTTAGGGTTCAAAAGGTCCAGACCTAACTTTCAAACAAATAAAAGATCATAAATAAATATAATTGTTACAATTTCAAGAGCAACTGGGAACAGTTTGATCCATGTCCATTTGGAAAATGGCACTGGGTGCAGGCTGCATTAGCGAGGGAATGACCCAGGAGGCAACAGGACCCCGACCAGCATCGCCATGGCCCCCTGAGGGGCAAGGCAAGGCAGCATTTGTGCATGGCAGACATAAGGGGCAGATCCAACACTGGCAGCTCTGTGCTGAGCCCCCACGGGCTCAGTGTTTGCATTTCCAGGCTCAGAGACATGGTCATTAATAGACAAATTGCTCAGATGCTTCACCTGACTGATAAGTTGTTTTAAATTCTTATTTGCTATTTATTTTTTTTCTTCCCTTCTAAACCAGCAACATCTCCCTGAGTGTTTGAAGCTGAAGATGGCCACCCAAGCAGTCCTCACCCCCTTCCCTGCCATGCAGATCAGCTGGTTTCATTTCAGAGGTCTATTTGCAGCAGTACCAAACCCAAGGCTGGATTTGGCCAGCCACGAATGTGGTGCCGGATACCCAGTCGGTGATAGGTGCTCAAGTCCTCACGCTTATAAATTATGTAGGGATGAAACCACCTTCCAGGCTATGAAGCATCTGCTTCAGCTGCCATCCCTCAGCCCCAGGGACTTGTTTCCAGCACAGCGTGGGCAGAACCACGTGGCCTGGATATCCCAAACCTAATGCATGGAGCCAACCATGCCAGGGGCGCAGGCTCCCACTTGCAGTAACGCCTCCAAGCAGCTGTCCCACCTCTTTCTTACCCACCCTCTGCTTCTTGTAGCTCACTCTCTCCATTGGCAGAGGATGCCATGACAGTTTTCATATGAGAAGAAGGTTCCTAACCATGGGGGTTGTGCAGCCCGGGAGTTGGCTTCCACAGAAGAAATCACACTGTGAGTTCTAAAGTGGATGATGATGTTTTTTTCTGAAGGGGACTGCTAGAACACATTGTTTGGGAGATTGTGGCCTGGGATGTGCTTCCAGTCCTCCAAGTTCCTGCTCCTACAGGGCCCTTCTAAAATCTCAGAGGGATGTACGTGATGGAGGGAAAAGCACCTCTGACAAACCATTTCTGGCAACATGAACGTTTCTAACACAGAGGCTTTTTGCATGACAATTTGAGTCTCTGGATCTTTTTGTTCACTAACCATCACCAAGCAAACCCAAATTTGTTATACAAGCCCCAAATGGCATCTTTTTAACCAAAATGACCAGAAGGAAAAATCAAAATCCCATCTTCATTTTCATGTGCTTATATTTGCTTAAATGAAAACTGCTCCAAAGCACAAACTCACCAGGGTCTAAGCTAAACATTATTCATTTCTGGAGTTGTAATTAGGGGGAAATGACTGCCTGACCTCAGAAGATTTCATCAGCAGTGCATCTACACTTGCGCATTCATGGGAAATGACACTTCCTGCAGCACTGGATTGATCGAGATGTGACTCAATGAGAAGGTATGGTTTCTTCCTCAATCCCCTGTATCAGTTACCCCACAGGAGGGTGAAATGGCATCTGTGCTAACGAAAAATAAGCGGAAGATCCAACATACACACTGCTGGCCTGAGATGCTCATCCCAGAGGAGCCCCATTTCACATTTCCAGGCTCAGCCTGGTGCAAATGACAGGGAATGAGATTGACCTTGAAAACCTGATTTACTGCAGCTTGAATCTGCAAGCAGAGAGCATTAAACTCAAGTCCCTTTCCTGGCCAGGGCTGATAAACTCCTGTTCGATTTAACAGCGTGACCCTGCTGTGGGCTGTGTAAGTGCCCTGCAACCGCAGCAGACACTTGTCCTATATTTAGTAAAAGCAACGCAGAGGCATTTGTTTTCAAGATTAACACGTGCATCAACAAGAACCTTTCTTACAAGGGACATAAACAAACCCTGGGTGGTTCAGGCTGACCTGATGCTACTAGAAATGCAAATTAGTCGTGCCAGCGCTGCACAGGCATGCATGGAAATGCCATCCCAGGGAAAGGCTTCGGCGCCCAGCGCAGGGTCAGGTCATGGCCCGAGAGGAGCGGGCTGGCTCGGCAGGAGGCTCTTTAGGGTGAACAAAAAGCAAATCTGCAGTAAAGCAGGGAGCGAGCAGAGGTCAGGCAGGTCACATCCATGCTCTGACTGCTCTGAGCTCTGCTCTGCTCTTTCGGTGGTGCTGAGGCAGGGGAACAAGCCTGGCCAGGGACTGCTGCACCTCGCATGACTCTTGCCAACAGCCCCAGCAGAAACGTTGCAAAATGGATTTCCTCCAGCCTTTCTCCAGCTCAAGACCTGGCAGAGAACAAGGCGTCTTCTCTGGATAGCAGCAAACCCCCTGGGATCCCCGCTATGCTCATGCCGTACAGTGTTCCAGAAAAAAAAAGGGGAAGAGACAAAAAAAAAAAAAAGTAAAAAAAGCTGCCAGGCTGCTCCCGCGTCTGGAGGAGCCCTGGAGTGCTGAGCTGGCAGGGGGAAGACACCAGCGCTCCACACTCACTGCATCTTCACAGCTTTTGCTCTCCAAAGCGATGACACCATCCCCTGCCTGCAGCACTCGCCAAACCCTTCAGAGCAAACGTCTGGCCCAATGGCAGGTTTTTACAAGGCTCCAACTGCAGGAAGTCTCCCCCCTCGGAAACCGTCTGCTCGCGGTACACCCGGCGTCCCAAAGAGAAAAGCAAACGGGCTCCATGAGGATGACTTTTGAAGACAGTGTTAAACCCCGCGGCAGAGGGGGAGATGCAGCAGCTGCAACCGTGCATGGCTCAGTCCAGCACGGCAGCACGGTGCATGCGGAGGGCAGCAGCCGACCTGTGTGCCCCGTGGGACCAAAGCGTCCATCCTCTGCAGGGCTGGAGTCACAGTGGCTGCAAATGCTGGCGGCTGGCAGCGTGCACTCAAATGGAGACAAGTCTGAGCTGCCTGTGCCTAAAGTATCCCCAAAACATCTGGGATTGCCTGGTACAGCAACATTGGCCATCACAGCAGTGGGCAGGCCAGAGCTGCTGTGACCTGCCTGAGCCAACGAGTGATTTAGCCGAGTCCAGCCCTGCTAAGACCAGGATTTGCCACCTAACACAGCTCTGCTCCATGACCCCAAGCTGTGGCCATCCCCTGTTCACCATCCCTCAGCTGCAGCACCTGCAACATCTCTGCTGATGCATTCCTCTCCCAGTCCTCCCCACCGCCGTCACCAGACCCCAAGCCCTCATCATGCAGCTCTATGAACACAGCTCAGCCCTAATTTGAACACAAAACCCTTCTTCCCAGGCTACTCCATCTCAACTACCTCATCATACAATTCCCCCAGCGTGCTCCCATCCTGGGGTCTCTACCCATCCTGTCCCCTAATTGCTGTCCCCATCCTATCCTCGCCTTCGCCGCCTACCCCAACCAGGCAATGGCCCACCTTAGGAAGGCTGAGCTCAAGGAGCTCCACAGCTGGCTGAACTGCACAGCTGGAGAGGAAACCAAACACGAGGAAACCAAAGGGGAGCTGGGGAAAGGCTCAATTCTTGATCTGTGCCTGTTTCTTCCATCAGATCTGGGATACAGCCTGGACTGCAAGGAGGAGGGAGGAAGGCGGCAGATGAGCAATAGCATTTACACATCCCTCTTCCACTCGTTCATGCTGAGAGCGAGTCAATCACCCCATCTCCTGTACCATTGGCCTATCCATCCCTGGGATGGAAGTTTGGGAAGGCCAAGGAATACCAAAATATATCACAGTGTTGAGGATGGAACATCATCCAAATAAATTAAAGGTTTGTGCTGCATTTTGGCACCATTGCCCGGAGTACAGCAAGATCTTCCATCATAGGGGAGCTGCCAAGATCTTCGCACGCTGACTCTCCTCCTGACTTTATAGCTTGTTATTGAGGTTCCCAGATTCCACCACATGCAGTGGTAATCCTCAGAAATTTAGCATTGCCACAATTGCATCCGAAAGCAGGGATGTCATTTAGCCAAGGTATATCGAGTTTCTAATGGGGAGAAAACATCAACCCTTGGCAACTGCTGGATCACTATTTGAATAACAAGTATAAAGACAGTGTATGTCCATGACCCAAATCCAAAATGTTTTTCACTGAGAGGGGCAGAAGGAAATATCACATTTGCCCTTTGCATCTTCAAAGGATGAGGCAAGGGAATAGGAGTGATGCAGAGCAAGAGACCGAAATCCCCATGCTAAGGCAGCAACACTGACCAGGAATCACTGAATGAGATGTGCAGCCCAGGCACAGTTTGCAGTGCGCTGTCCTACAAGTGCTTTCAGTCCTTCCTTTGGAACTTAGAAAGGCAATGCCATCCTCCCTCCTTTCCCCCTTCAGCCCAGATTTTAGTGCTGTCCCATCAAAACCGAAGCTATTCTCTTGCAGCGATGTGACATCAATACCGCAGCAGGATCTGGGGTTTCAATGACTTGCCAGCTCTCTTTGGAAAAGGGAACAGATTTTAAAGCTGTGACTATTTAGGTGTACTAGCTGATTGTAAAGACAGCCAGACACGTGTGAGGTGAGGGAAAGACTGGATCATGCCCATCCCAGACTTCTGGAAGCACCAGTGAAAGAATTTGCTGTTTTGGCTGAAGAGACTCTTAATTACGGAGGGAGGTTCTCTGCAACCACAACAGCAAATCCAGCGCCTGAACTGAAGAGTTTGGCTAGAAGACAGATTCAGGCAGCAACAAGCCTGCTAGGCTGACATCAGCATTACCAAAGCTTTAGAAAACAGTCTGAAGGAAAGAAAACAATTAAAAGGTGGGTGCAACTG